ACATTCTGCGTGGGTTTCCAAAAATATTTAACAAACATTTTTTCCACGTTGACGGGAGGGTGGAAAAAAGCTGTGAGAACAACACAATTAAACGATATTAGCAAGAGTGCCACGAGACAACGTCCTCCCCGCCTGTGAAAGCAGTTAATTACAGCGCGTGAGAGACACTTTTGAACAACTTGGGCTCGCGAGCGAACGTTAGCGACTATTTCCCCGTTTCTACAGAAACCGCCTCGAGAGCACTTCACTGGCTTTTTTTTAAGCGGAGGAGGAAAACGAAAATAACTCTCCGCGTGTTTATTTCGTCGACACAAGGAGAAAATAACAAATCCAGAACCCCCCCCCCCCCCCCCCCCCCCCCAACACACACACACACACAACACAGCCGGAGCCGTCACCTGTCTTACCTGTCCAAGTTTCTCTCTCCCTCTCTCTCTCTCTTTCTCTCTCCCTCGCTGTCTCTCTCTCCCTCCGTCGCCTCTCCTTTCAGAGACCCCCCTCTGTTTTTTTCCCTCTCCTCTCCTCGTTCGCGTGAGCCTGAGCAAAGCAACGCGAGCGACGTCTTTCAGCTGCTGCTGCCCCAGTTCCAATATGGCATCTCCTATCTGCGCATGTCCAAAAACATCTAGAGATATTTTCAAGCCAACTCCTTCATTGACCTTTCGGCGCAGAGAAAAGAAAGAAAAAAAACATCTTCAGCCTGTTATAAATAGGAAGCTGAAGTTCAGCTCAAACATGCTAAACGTAACAGACACTCTTTATGCGAACTATTAAAACTAATTCAGTTGTATGCTAATCAAAACGAACCTCTCCAATCATCCACTTAGGTATTTACTAATTAGCTAATCATATCTTCTTCATCACTTGAAATCAAGCTAATCGCATTTGTCCCAGTCCGGAAGTTGTTTACAAAGAAAAAAAACCTTTTTTCCATCAAACATTTTTTCCCCTCAGGTTACAGTTTCTGATTTATACCCGGAAACACAAACTCTCGTCATCTTTTTCGTTTTCAAAAAGCCAATAAAATGAAATAAAAAGGCTACTTTTAAGGAAGTATAGTTAGGAATCACCAACCGACACAGATGCACAACTGCCTGATTATGATCAGCTGCATGTGTTTGATAAGGCTTAAGTCAATAATTTATTATATCTTGACTCAATTTGAACTCCTGGCTTCTTTCCCCCCCTCCATTGGACTTATTTTTCACGTTTATCAGCTATTGAGAAATACTTCCCTTTCCCCCTTTAAAAAAAACACAAAAAACAATAAGAATTAGGACTGGACTTTTATCACAGTCAACAGTATCCTCTAGTGGTGGGAGCGCATTGCATCTCTTTTGATAGACACTTATAGCTCAAAATGTTGGTATGTTATTTTCACAAATGTGCTAAATCTAAACGATCGGATATGAACACTCGAAATGAGGCAGGTTTAGATGACGTGAGCGGGTTTTGTTGCTTTTTTCCAACGAAAAGTGACAGCCAATACGTATCGCTGGGATAAACTAAAGAACTTCGGGGAAATTTGACGAAGTTCCTGTCCAGGAACTGACGTTTCTGGCCTTTGGAAACAGTGGGCTCGTGTTTTTCTGACTAAATTGTTGGTCGATTGGGCAATTTGACCTTTGCATGTAGATCGAGGGTCAGAGATATAGTTAGGGAAACCACTTGATAAAGGCGCCGACATCCCTCCCCCCCCAAATTTCATTATATAGGCTACCAGATCTGGGTCAAGTTGTCAATGAATTACAATTAAGTTGACATTTCTGTTAAATATGTTAACGGATGCGCCTTCAATTCGCCATCATTTCCAGGGATGTGAAGAATATCCAAAGCACTTTCCCCTCTGAGCTTATTAAATGCTCTCACAGGTCAATTATCACTCCTTTCAGGAAGAAAATTATATTTATCACGTTTGATGATCAAACACTATTCCGATCAAATTACAGGATTACGATGAGACAAATGTGGGTTTCTGGAACATATCCTGCAAATTCATTTCTGGAAAAAGTTAATTTACGCCTCAAATACTGTCTGTGCAAGCATGCATGGTGACAGTTGAGTTTTTCTTTCTTTCTTTCTTTTTGGTGCATGTAACGATGAGTTTGGAGCTTTATTCATATGGGTCCATCTGATTAATTAAGACACAAAGGGGAGTCAGAAGGACACGGGAGGAAGTGTTCGTGCGGTTGGGGATGCCGCGCGTGGAACAGATGGTTGGAGCGTGCGCCGTGCCCCATTAATCTGCCCGAGAAGAGGCTTTTCCCGAGCGCGCGGGTGGAAAAGGATTAAGTGCCTTCGAGCGCGCACGCGAGCAGGCCGACGTGCACGCGGGCGGACACGTGCAGCTTGAGCATGAGCCCGCAGCCTCTTTGCAGACAGAACTGAGAGGGTGAGGGGGTGTGGGTGTGTGTTTGTGTGTGTGTGTGTGGGGGGGGGTGATACTGGTTTTGATGGCCGTGATTGTGCCTCGACGTGTCTAAATGAACATGTGACCCATGCTGAAAGTTGTGCAACATCCTGCCTGTGCTGGACTTCCTGAGGAAAAAAAAAGAACCTCATTCACATTGTAAATAGATGCTTAACTCTCCAAATCAAAATGGACTCTTAAAGTAACCCGTCACAACGTGAGACATGCTAATCTTATCAAATCTATCGTTATGAAACAAAGGACTCCTCTTTCAGGACGGAAGTTTCTGTTATTTACATGCTTTCTCGTGCCATTTTTGGTTATTTTATGACTAATTTTGGTTGTTGGATATGTCTTTGTGTGGCTTTATGTGTCACAAATCTATTTCTTTTGATGTTTGGACAGACACTTGTTTATTTTAGCCATTTAACAATGTATCTTTTTTAAACATTTTTATATCTATAAGTTTTTTTAGTTTGGCATCTATTTGTGTCATTCGGTTGCTCAAAGCCTTCTTGTATTTTGTGTGTCTTTGTTTCAGTTGTTTTCAATTTAGTCTCTTTTACGTCATCTTGTGTCCTACTTTGGTTATTTTTTTGTCTCGCTCTTATAATTTACGAATTTTGTGTCATAGTTTGACGTTGCCTCTAATCTAAAGTCTGTCTTTGCTTTCATAACATTTTTTTTGGGTGTAATTTTGCCCATTGTCAAATTTCATTTCAAATTTCATTTAATTTCAAGTTTTTTTGCATCAAAGTTGTATAATGCTTGTTCATATCTTTTCTATTGCAAGGTTTTCCCCTTTTCTCTTCAATCTAAATCTCTCTAAATCTTGGTTGCATTCTTTCACCTCATTTGGCATCTCTGCAAAGGTTTAGTGATCACAGCCTTCTTTATTCAGCATGTAGCCTTATGTCATGTTTGGGTAATCTTTTCTTTGGTTTTGATTATTTAAATCTCCTTTTTTTCTGGTAGTTTTGTGACACAACTAACAGTACTACAGGCTTGTTTTGGTTACATTTTAAGCATGTCATCTGTTCCATGTCTGTCTTAGCACCTTTCGTCATATTTGGCTTTCTATAATGCCTAATTAAAAATCTGTGACCCACATACTGACTTTCAATGCTAGCCTGCTATGTTTACATCACCTTCTTTTGTTGCTTTTTGAGGTCTAAATGATTTTCAACCTGTTTTCTCTCACATTCGCTGTCACTTTTAGGTCAGCTTTGACAAAATTGGGTTATCAGATCCTTGGAGCCTAAGGAATCTTCAGCAGGTGATTATTCTTCTACACAGATTTTTCACTTTCGTGGAATTGCATACTATCAGTCTATGTTTTCTTACATAAAAGCTCACATTCAAGTTATTTGGTTGTATTGGATGTAGACTCCACACATATCTTCTCAACAACTACACATCCCCTCTTCCACCCCAGGCCAATGTATACTCTGCTGACCGGATGTTTAAGGTAAGCTTCCATCATGCATCAATCAGATACTTGTATTTACCCATAACTCTGTTTATTCAATTATTACGATATTCTGACATTTCCCCCACCCCCTCCCCTTCCCCTGAATTTGACTAAAAATACCTTGAACATAGACTTTTCAGCTCTTCCATCCTAAAGCTGCAAGTTCCCTCGCGAGCCTGTCGCGCGCATCACCTACTGACACGGACAGTTCTCCTGGGCAGCCCTTGGGCGGCGTCGCTCACATTCAAGGAATTCTTCTCCTGGATGAACCGCCCAATTGTATTATTGTAGCCGATCACTAACAGGAAATACATATCCTACCCTTCAAAATAATACGCTGGAAAACGTTACATGAATAGTAATTTTTGAAGGTAGGCATATTTTCCAAATACTTTTTTATATCATCTTAAAAGAAGGAAACTTTTTCTTTTTGTGGGTGAACAGTTCAAGTCTAACAATGATATACAAAGAAATTAGATGCATTTTGATGTTTTGTTCACCATGTTGATGTGAAAACATTAAGATCAAAGCTCCATGCAAATCCAATGGACCAGAAGTGCTTTCATTAAGGTTTAAAGCCTGAACTAAATCCCAATAAAGTGCTGTTTTGCCATCATGTTCTAAATATAAGGATTTAAGATTATGGCCATGCAAGTAATTTAAATAGTTATAAATAGCAGTCTTAGACATCCTGTGTATATTATTCATAAATTCACAAATAATTCAATAACATTTAAAAAAAGAAAAGAACACCTGATTTTACTCATATCCATCATTAACACTTTATGAAATCTACATTTTACAAATACATTAAAAGATTATGAAAATAAACTGATAATTTTCTCTCTGATCAGATGGTTTGAAAAAACAAGTATATTATTTCCTTGATTGGGGTGGTGTGGTCCTTGGGGGAACCAGGATCTTTCTGTGTGGAGTCTGAATGTTCTCCCTGTGTCTGCGTGGGTTCTCTCAGGATTCTCCGGCTTCCTCCCACCGTCCAAAAACATGCATGTTACGTTGATTGGACATTCCACAGAGGGTTCCCCCCACCCCCCCCACTCCCCATCCTACCCCTCAGCGACCCCATTAGGGAATAAGCAGGTCAGAAAATGGATGGATGGATTTTCTTGACAGTCACACGTTTTCTGCCATGTTCGACTTTTATCCTGAAGTGTTCAAACCGGAAGTAAAGCTCGTGTCTTGACGGCTTCACGCAGGCCGTGTTTTCCTTATTATGAGCGTGGATGGGAGTCGGATAATCGATTCCCTTGTTTGCTTTAGCATCACGAGATGCCGTTACTGGAAACACTGAAGAAAAGCTCTACCTCGCGTTGACACCTGAGATTTAAAACCGGAGAAAAAAAAAACGACCGTTAGATTTCCACGAAGACAGAGAGACGAAGCCCCCTTTCCCTCCCACTCTGGAAGTTCTTTCTTTGTCTCCGGCGGTTTTTGTTTTTGTTTATATCGCGTCAGCATGGATATGTACGGGTACAGTGGGGTCTTCTTGGCGAAACGGTTCCTGGACCACGCTGCCTTTGAGGTCATTAACATGTCTGACATTAACAAAGCGAGCCCTCACGGCTGTGATAACGGAGCTCTGACGGACAGGTTCGGGGTTCTGATTCAGGGACTTCTGGCTATCGTCGCCTTCAGCACGCTAATGTGTGAGTATTGCCTCTGTCAGCACCTCTTGCTTACAGTCACTGAGTGTTGTTTCTTTTCTTTTTTTTTTTAGATAGAGCAAACATGCCTTTAAAGGGCTCCACGTGGCGTTTTGTTGACGTTTTTTTCCTCCCCACAGCCTCATTAGCATCGCGGCGTCGCTCGCCCACGACGTGGTTTTTAACGAGCAGCGTTGAGACGTTTGACCTTTTCTTTTAAAGTATACTCGTCAGAATTTAATTTAAGTTATGCCGAATTTGCCGCAAACAGCCAAACATTTGAACCAAACCACCTGACAGCATAATAAACAACGGAGAAATAATGTTTGGGCCCCAAGAGTCCAGTTCCTTAATTGTCAAACGGTATTCAGTTGGCCCCAGAGTTGTTTTGACTCTGTCAACATTTTGGTGGCCGTAAAGAGCCCCCCAAACTGCTGGCCATCATTCGCCACTTCTACCTGCTGACCTTTGGATCCAGACAATATCTGTTAACCCCAAAGTTCCTGATTTTTCGAGTTAAGTCTGCTAAAAATGGGCCTGTTATCAGGGGAGCGCCTTTGCTTCAAGGCAGACATCAGCTTTGCAGATAACACTTAGTTGCTTGGGGCCAGCCCCGGTCATCACCTTTGCTTTTACCAGTCCATCGAGCAGAGACACAGTGCTTTGTTTCTTCTGGGGAGGGCGAAGGAATAATGTTAATCCCATCTCTAAACCGTCCTCCCATCTAAACACGGTTACTCACCCCAAACAATAGCCTCTGACTCCATAAGAACTTGTGATTCTGGGGCAGCTGACGAGGAGAATGTGGAGCATCTCTCCACTTTTGGCACCACAGGCTGTGTTTTTATATTGCAGCAGCTGACGGCCATGACAGAACAGCAACAACTTTTTACAAAAATGTATTTTAATCTATGTTAAAGTTTCTTTTCCAGCTGGTTTCAAGTTCAGTTTTCCATTTGTTTTGCCTAATTATCCTTTTACACCAGTTTATCTATTCATCCGCCCCCCCCCTCCCCCGTAATGTTAGTTCATTATATTTAAAAAGAGATGGTGTAATTGTGCTCTGATCTCATCACAGTGCTCAGTTTTAAAGGTCAACGAGGCGATGATGATTTCATCATCGAATTAAGTGGCTGGATTCATTGCAGATGAACACAGGGCAGCGAAGGGCTGCAAAATTAGGTCAGGCTTTAAAGGGGAGGGGGTGGGGGGCGTGCGATCAATGAGCTCTAACCTCCACTTTGTTACTTATTAGTGGAGGAATCAATATTCCACCCCTCCTTTTTCTTTTCCTCCCCCTCTCTGGGTCTCAGAGTGCCTGTGAGTGTCACCCTTGGTCAAAACGCTTGCTTCTGTTAATATTTACACCCCGTCACATAAATGCTGCTTCGGAACATTGATCTTGAGACTTATTATTTTTGGTATTTTTTGCATTTGTCGCCAAAAAGTTGGAGAAGGCTAAGGGAGAATGCATAGCGTGCGCACTGAGACCACATCTGCAAGAGTTCTCATCCTGTTTTCAAATGCCGGGTCGCGTTCTCCCACCTTAGAAGATGGCAAGATAGAGAAACAGTGGGCTCCTGTTCACGTTGAGCCTGGTGTGTGTGGGGGGGGAGCAGTGAATCGCCTGGCAAAATGAAACCAGGACAATATGTCTGCGTTGCGGTTGACCGCTCTCCCCTTCTGGTCTGCAGGCAAATTCAATTTTGGAAGTCAAAGAAATAGTCTGGTGGTGTTAATTTTGCTCCGCAGAGCCCAGTCTTTGATTTAAGCGGTCCATCTTTATCTTTTTGTTTTTTTCTTCCTTGCAGTGAAGAGGTTCCGAGAGCCAATAGGAATCAGGCGACCGTGGAGGATCTGGTGAGAAAAAAAAATTCACCTACTCCACCCGTGAGACCTTTAGATTATACACCTCTGCCACCAAATGAATCAAACAGAAAGCAAAAAATGGCAAATTTTGTTGATATTTTGAATGATATTTGCAGTTGTCTTGACTTTAAGTCGCATAGAAAGATGTTTCAACATGCAACAAAATATAATAGAAAAGTCAAAAATGGAAATATCCATTGTGTTCTTTCCAGGTTTTTTGACACGTCCAAACAGGCCATTGGTGCTTTATTCATCCACTTCGCCAACGTCTTCCTATCCACACTCACCAAGGAGGACCCATGCTCTCTGTGAGAGGTTTTTCTCGGCAAATATAACACAATAGGATCAGACCTATCCATCATGCATGTCTTTAAAAAAGAAATGATCTCATTTCCTGTTTTACCGAAGATATCTGATGAATTTCCTGTTGGATGCCACTCTGGGGATGCTTGTCATCTGGCTTGCAGTGATGTTGGTGTCCAAACTGGTGGAGTACAAGCAATGGACTCTGCTCATGTTTGGAGAATACGGTGGGTGAAAACGAACTCGGCCCTTGTTTGGCCCGTGATTTTTCTCTTTAACACGAACAAGCTGCATTTACAAAGGCAGGGTGAGGAATTGGGTGGGTTTAGTTCTGGTTTTGACCACCAGATGGGGCAGTAGGTCTTCCAGCGGGTGGACAGGGAGGAGAGCCAGAGTCTCCAGCTGCTGCGGAGTCTGGTAAACATCACTAAAACTCCCCGTTAGTTATTACACCTCTCCCCATCTGTAATAGTCTTTTTTGTTGCTATGATGTTCCTCCTTTTTTTTTTTGCTGGAAACTTTTACCAAAACCAGCTGTAACGCTGACTTGATCTAGTCCGTTTCAAAGGGACGGCTCTAATTCCTACATGTGTCTGTTTCTTCCTTTGTTTTATCCCTCCCCCTTCCTTTTTCTCTCAGTTTAGCTGTTAATCTAGCTTCCTTCCTCCTGTCTTAATGACAGACCTGCTTTCTTTTGTGTCTGTTGTGGTGAGACACCTGCGCGGCGAAAAGCTTTTTGGGAACCGCGTGAACAGGGGTGGAAGCATTCTCCTCCTACTACCTAAAGCTCTACGATACAGAACACGGGCCATTTTTCCTGATCTTTGATTTCGATGGATTTGCTTTACAACAAAAATCAAAAAAGCGAGCGTCAAAAAGTAAAATCGTAAAATCTTTTCTCTTTTAAAGCAGTTGATTCACTTGTTGTTATTCCCCCACGCTTCACCAGGTGACCCACCCCAGGCAGCAGCGTGGCTGGGCCAGGGGGGCATCTACCTGCTCATCATGGTGCTGGAAAAAGGAGTGGTCAGCCTGGTGCTGCTCATTCCCGGATGGTCCAAAGTAAGCACACTTCACAGCTTCTGGGTTCGTTGTATCATGTTGGAAGAACGGAAGAGAGTTAGAGGAAGGCTGAAGCTCTCGGAACAGTTAAGAAAACGTTTAGTCAACGAGCTCCCGACCTGGTTTGTTATTTGAAATCTTTTCCTCCAGCTTTTCCTCCATCAGTTCCGTGGCATCTGATTCAGTTGCATACTTTTAGAAATGATATAAGTTGGCTTCGTCATTTCTAATTAAATCACTGGCCAAAAGTGGAAATTTGACTCCAGCCTGCGAACAATAAGTGTCTGAGAACTGTCCCTGTTGCTGTGGTTTTATCCCAAAAGGACCACACCTCAATTCAGTTCAACAGGGAGCCAGAATCTAAAAGTTTGCACTGTTTGTATTAGGGAAAATCTTAAATGTTATTGGCCCAGAATGAACCCTGATCTTAGTCAGGGAAGTTAGAAAAACCAAAACACCACCACATATAATCGGACTGTAGTCTTGCCTTTGGTTTCCTTTTCAATTTTTTTAGATCATCTGGAAATTAAAGAGGTTGAATTGACATAAAAGTACTTCTTGGAAAATGTCAGCATGCAAGTAATGTTAAAATTTAATTTTCACCGTGGTTTTATAGGGTCATGGCCTTAGCTATGCCATAGCAACAGAAGTATCAAACAAAAAGTAATGGACTTGATTTAGTTTAAAAAATGTTTTCCCCATTCTGCTGTTGGAGAATCAATTTTATTTAAAGAATATGTTTCCATACTTTTTTGGTATGTAAACAATTTTATATAAAGAAACAAAAATCTTGCTATATATAAAATTTATTTAATTAAAATTTCTTTTCTGTTCGTTTTTCTGTCTGCTTTTTCTGGAAATGAGATTTAAATAATTTCTAAATCAAATTTTGACAAAATTCTGTTTCACAAAACAGAAAACATGTTGAATGAAAAAAAAAACTTTTTATTTATGTCGTTGCACTTTGAAAGGAACAGTCTTTAACTGAGTTAGAATATTACCAGACTTGAAAATTACTTTTTACATTTTTTAATTATCCATTTATGGAGTTTTTTAAATAATTTTTTAACCAGTTTTCTTCTTCTGTTCCAGCTGCAGGAGGTGTTGCTCAGTTACATCGCTAACCCTCAGCTGGAGCTGGCACTTGTCATGCTCATCGTGCCCTTCATAGTGAATGTAAGTTTTCACTTGTGCCAACGTTTTTTTGTTCTTCTTTTTTTCTCTTAGAGCTTGCGCTCTCGTTAAACCTTTTTTCTCTGGCTCTTCCTGCAGTCCATCATGTTCTGGGTGGTGGACAGCCTGACGATGAGGAAGTACAAGACGACGAAGAGCCTGGAGGACGGCGCGTTAGAGAAGGCCGAATCTCTGCCGGGGGTGGACAGCGAGGAGTCACGGGTGAGACAAACTGATATTCAGCATTCAGTTGAATCTAAAAAGCACTGAAATGGTTTGAAACTCAAATAAAAAATAGCCTTATGTAATGCTTTATCTGGCACACTGACTTATTTTCATCACAAGGTCGACACAAATGAAGCAGGGCTGATTGTGTGGAAGCCAAGTACATGGTACACAAGTTAGAATATTGTCACTTTAGAATAAGGCTAGTGAATTCAAAGTAAAATGTTCTTTTGGGGTACAAGAGACTTTCAGCACACGGCTGAAGCTCAGCAGAGAGGGAAGAGAGCTGAGCCTTTAGTTTCATTCATTTAAATCTTGGATCGAAGCCAAATTTCTGTTGATGTTTTGTAAGAGAAACATAAAAAAGAAAGAAGAGCTTGCTCTGTCATTTCCAAAGGGGACAATATTAAGAAAATTGCTGCAATTTGTGTCAAAGGAGAAGTTGATTTGCTCACGCGGTCGCGTCAGCAGCACAGCTGTTTTAGCAGAATAGCTCAGCAAAACACACATTCGACATTATCTAGGCTTTATTCGAGGAGAGCGCACCAACATCCAACAAACCTTCTTTTCCTCTAATGTGGATCTTTGTTGTTCCTTTTTAGTTCAGTTTTGTGTTTTTTTCCCCCATGGGACAGTGTTTTTTTTAAACTGTTGGCTGAGTTACACTGTTCTGAGAAATTTGTTTTGCCGCAGTCTTTCATTTAAACGTGCAAAAATGGAAGCATTTTTAATAAACAATACGGATCTAAATAATGAGAGTCTGAGGTGAAATGTTGTTTCATACAATAAATAAATATCACCAGCATTGTGAGTTCAGCAGAAATAATCGAGGGAATATCCAATCAATTATTTAACTTGAAACTAAGAGTTTGTACATTCGATTTTTCCAACACAAAAGCTCTTCTCATTCCATTTTTTTCTCTCTCAGAAAAGATTGAACTCTGAATTGTCTCCCAATGACGGTGCAGGTTGTGACCCTGCATGCAATTAGATTACCGTTCGGCCCTCCCTCTTTCTTTCTCCCTTCTGGTCATCTGCCAGGCGACTATAAATCAGGCCTTCATCCCAGGAATAAACGTGACATTTAGGACTCAATTCCGAGCGTTGATGTTATGGAAAATGGAGTGGAGAGTGGAGGAGGACTGCAGATAAGGGACCATTGACTTGGATGAGTCTTTGTGGGGGTGGTGGTCGCAGCTACAGCCACAAGGCTTTTGTTGTGGCCACTGTTATTTTCCCTGATGCTACCATCATGGAGAAAAGTTATCAGGCTCTTCTAACAGTCCCAGTTTCATTGGACTTTCTCTGTTTGTTTTTGAAGCATAGTTTGGTAAGTCAGGGAGCTGGATTTCACTCTTTTACAATCTGTAAAAAGAAAAAGCCGGTATAAGCTACAACTCCCCTCACAACCCTACTAGAAGTGAGCAGTATTTGAAAAAAAAAAAAATAATAATTCCACGAACAACCAAAAATATCCACTGGGATCCTTCGCATCCTTATTCCATCTCAGGCTCTGCTCAGTTGATTGTTGTGCCTCTTTGGTAACTGTGCGAGAGATCACATTTATAGGTCCCTACCCCTCACTCTTCATCAGATTAAGAAAAAAAGATTGTAATACTGACATTTATCAATTGAAATTTCACAGAATTTTTCTTATCTAAATGGCCACATGCCGTTGCTTTGAATTTGTTCTCATGTTGGAGTCACTTCAGGTCTTGGGCAAACGTAGAGACCGATTATGGGAGTGCTGCAAATGTGGTAACATATGATGATTCTTTTTGGATATTCTCCATAGCTGATTAATTTACTATTCTTTAGGCTACAAAATGCAAAACGGAAACATTTTAATCAACAGCTTTACCGACCAGGGTGCAAAATCAGTTAGAAGCTGCAGTCACTGGCACAATACTTCACCTAAGAGCGGATTTTTGACAAACCTCCTCTTCTCTCAGGTCCTGTTGGCGAATGAGATGGATACGGAGGAGGCCTCAGAAGGGGAGGAGGATCCAAACATTGTTGGACCAGTCTATGCGCAGTGTTCAGGCAGACCTCTGAGACCGAGTTGGGTGGTGGTATAAACCCAGGGGACCTGACTTCCTAACGGTCCGTCTGCTATACACACATCTGATAAAAGTCTGTCTTGCATGTTCTTTTTCTGACACCTCACAGTCTTCTGTTAGATGACTATTACAATACGATGCACTCACTATTTATCCAGCTGCTTTTACAGTCAGTTTTGTTTTGTTTACAACAGGCTGCTATTAAGGGTCTAGTGACACAATAGTTGTTGTAAAGGGGATGGAAAAATAACTTAACTGGCCATTATTAATTATATGTTTAAACTATTACCTTCACAAGTGTTAAATGAAAAGTAATCCACAGCTCAATGGAGCCTTTTGGGGTTAGAAAAGAACATTACATACACAGTGGGAGGATGGGTGGTAATGTTGTCAGAACAAGCAGAACATTACCGATTAATGTCTGTCATTTATCTGAGTAAAAGTTTAAAAAAACCTCGAAACACTTTGGAAAATCGCTTTACATTTTATTTTTACCACTAATTCTGTTGGGATTTGCTTTATGCGTGACCCAGTAGGGCGGCGCCCTTACATGAACTCGTTGGCGAATAGTTAGCGTAAAAACAGAAAAGCGTTAACGTGAAAGCAGCTGGCAGACGAGGTCAGATTTGTCCTCTGATGTTTCTCAGGGAAAGCATCCTCCAAGCCAGTGAAAGCGATAACCTTAAAGTTTTGTTTGGACATAAAAACATGTGTTTGTCTTACACCAGTGAAAGGATGCAGCTTAATTTTAAATGTTCAGCTTCTAACATTATTTGGCGTGGAAAGTATTTTCTAACAGGGTCTATGAACCAATATATGAATATTTGGTTTTGTTTGCATCTGAAAAAGCCAAAATTCCAAATCCTTACAATATCACACTGGGCTTTAATGATCTCATTGTGAAATCTGATTATTTGGTGTATTTTATGTAAAATTTAGCAGGCACAATAAATACATGAATCTATGGGATTAGTAAGCCAGTAGAACACTTTTTATTTTTTGTAGTTTTCACTTTATCACATATTTCTTACCGTCATCTTCAGTTGTTTTTTTTTTTGGAATGCACCACTCCCGCTTCCTTCTTATAGCTGATCTTCTGCAGTCTGCCCTTTCGTAGAATACAATTGAATTTCCAGTAAATTGTTAAAACTGATTTAAGGGCTGTCAAAGGGCTGTGCAGGGAGTCAAGACTTCTAGCTGCACACAATGCCAGTTGTAACCACACAAATCTGCTTATGAAAAAACAAAAACAAAGAAGAAGTGCTCTATAGTTTGTGTTGTTAAATGTTGTTTTCATGTGATGAAACACCAGTCAACGCCTGGCTATGGAATTAAAAATAGATCTGGTGCATTGATGGCCCTAAATGTTGCACATGTGAGCTTTAACACTTGAAGCGTGAAATGGACTAATAGATGATCATTTTATGCTGAATGAGGGAGATTTTCAAATTTATTTAAACATTTTTTTTTTTTGTGGCCAACGATTATATAGAAATATAATGAATTTTTGTAGAACTTGAGAATAAAAATAGTAATGACAAAACATAAAAGAACGATTTATATGAAGATTTATTGTTTTTAATTTTTTTTGTTAGTTATTTTGTATAGATGACGTATACGCTTACTTTTTTCTTTATTTTTCCATTTATTGAATTTGATCAATTTGGTCTTTGTTATAACCTGTAACCTTTGCTTTTAGCCAATAAGTTTTTAGCTTTAGTCATCTGCCTTTTGACATTTGAAAATACTATAAGAAATAAAGAAAATTCTAAAATACAAAGTAATGAGCAATATCTAAACACATTGAGCTATTGATGAAAATACATCAAATTCTTTTATGTTTTGTCATTTGTCTTTAAACCCCCCCATTTACTAATTTATTGCTGCTCAATTTTCCTGTTTATTTCCTTCTTTTTTAGAGATGTATTGTTCTTTGTGGCACATGTGACATTCCATATAAGGCCTTGATAAGTGTTTACTCTTTTTTCTTGAGGCACATTTTTATTTATTGTTTATAATTTGTATTTATTTTTCCTTTATATATTATGGACTAATTCTGTTGGATTTAGATATTTAGTCAGTTAAGAGAATATGAAGATTTTGAGACTTTTGAATCACCAATCTATAGGATACTAACTGGTTCTGAGGTTATAGCAGGTGATTGATGCTGAATGCAGATTTTTTCCCTGTGTAAATATTCATACCTGATTTAAAACGGTCTGCCGATATCTTCAAAGTACTATCCGTATTTGAATATTGCCTGTGTATTTTTGACAACATGGATGACACGGCACATCCTAAGGTTACATTGACGGGCCTTAAACTGCCACGGTGCTTCTTTCCGAATGTATATCTTTACTTTATACTTGAATAAAGATGATTGACATATGAACTCGTGCTTGGTGGTGAATTCCTGCGCTGGCCGGGGCGAGGCGGCGTGATGACGGACGGGCCCCTGGTGGGACCCGGCCAGTGCACACCTGTGGAGGCGGGGCCTGCAGCCTCCTGACCTCCACTTGATGATAGGGAAGAATATGGAGCTGTGCATTTGTGTGCAGTTGGGAGTTAGGTGTGCATGTAGTCATTGACACACAGACAGAGGGTTAGTTACCAGGGCTGGCCCCTGTGATGACCAGATGTGATCCACAGCTTGAGAAAAGAGACATTCTTACATACACATTATTCTCAAAGTCTCAGAAAAAACAGCCTCAAAATATATTTAGATGTTTTTATTTACATCTACAAGTGTGGAAATATTAAAGAATATATCATTAAAACATTAAAAATCAATTAGAAATATAAAAATATGTTCAAAAGCGACCTGTGAAGGAAAGAAAACTGTAGTTTTCGGCTATTTTAGTCTGCTGGGATGTGATAACTGTTTATGAAAGGAGTTAATTCAAATAATGAGATGTTGGCACTGGAATTCCCAACAGCCTTCAGAGTCTGTTTGTGCCTTGTGAGCTGTCTCCTGTGTCGAACATATGTGACATCAAGTAGTCCTCATACTGTCCGTCTATCAGCTTAGCAGCGTTGTTTCGAGCGAACCAACAGTCCACACTCTGTGTTCCACTGTAGATCTTCCGGCTTTTGTGAACCACCGGCACTGAGCGGTTCTTCACCTTCAGAACCTGGGAGGGCTTCGTGTGTCCCTCTGCAGGAAGCTCTGCCAATCCCACTTCCTCATGCAGGAACTGGCCTAAAAGCACAGCAAATAAATTTGTCACTTTATTTATTTCTCATGTCTGGCTGCCTATGATTAATAAGCTGCTTTACTTTTTTTAAATACAGCGAGACTAAAAATTTCATCAATGATTCATACCTTGGTAATTTTTCTGCACACTTGTTCTTAGTGGGAATAACTAACTTGCTTTATAAAACAAATGGATAATAGTGTAATTGCATTTTTCAAAAAAAGTGAGATTAAACATAAAAAGTTTCTCTACCCTAATCTGACAAGATAATGATACACAAAGAAAATGAACTGATTTTAAACTGACTTTTTACAAACATGGTTTGGTTTTTATCTTCAGAAGTGATTCATGGGGAGATTTGATGTGTAACAGCCAATACACACCATAGTGGCTCGTGTTTAAATCTTTAAATCACAAGTTTTAGAAGTCTGAAGTGCCGCTGAAGTAAATAGTAATAATAATACTAGTGGTAGTAATAATAACAATAGTCTTTAATAATAGTAAAGAGGCTAAAGTGAGCAAAGTGGAGGAGATATCACATTAGCTATCAAAAGCAAAAGTGTGTGATGCAGAGGAACACGTTTCTTCTTTACTGAATGTTATGAGAGTCACCTGGTTACCTCATCTTACTTTTTGAGTGCATATGAGATTCAATTAAACAATCATTTCCCTGTATGCATCCAGGAATTTTGTAAAACGAAGTAGAGAAGGTATTGTGGCCTTAACATAATTGATGTTGGATGAGAGTTTATTCAACACGCACCTAGCAAACCATGGCAGTTGTGAGACAGCCCCTTGCTGTTGGCGATGTAGAACCCCAAATGGTCTCTCTGGTAGGGAGCTGGGTTCTTATACTGATGCAGCAAGATGACAAAGCTGATGTTCCCCCCCACCGACACAGTCACGTTGGAGTTTCCCACGATAGCCACGGCCAGCACGCCGCTGTCCACAGTCACCGTGGAGTGGCAGGGCAGGACGATGCGGTCCCGTCCGTCCAGGATGACTTTCTTAGGGGTCACTTCGATGTAGGCGCGCTTGGGGTGGTCCGCCACAATTGTGATGGTGCTGAAGTAGGTGCGCTGCTGCTTGTGGCTTCCTGGTGGAGCTGGAGCACCAACTAGCTTTCCATTGACAGTCACACCTGAGATAATATGACATAAATGTTATGTGATTTTAAGCTAAACCCTTATCTTCTGCATATTTAACTTATAAATAAGCCATTGGGGTGCCTAACCTAAACTTTTTTTGTCCATGTTTGGCTTGTTGACAGAGAAAAAATTGCGGCTTTGATGTAAAATTCACACTTAATCGGAAAAGAAACATACTTAAATCTTCCATTTTATTTTTCCACACATGTGAAAATCTTATATTGAATAAGCCCCAGTTTCCTCTTGAAATCCCCAATAGTAAGTATCCCTAGTTTCAAAATGATCAAACAGTTAGGATGAGATATGATGTAACACAACTATTAAACACACCGCTTCGTCAGCTTATTGTAATATGTTGATAGCGCCATATTCTAGAATTTCTTGAAAATGTTTCACAAAAAAAAAAGGTTGCTCCGGCACGACGGTGAGGACAATATCTTTGGACCTACGGCTGTTAAAAAAGAGGCTCAGACATGTGTTGCATTTTGGAAAATGACATATCTGGGGGTTCATAAGAGCTGTGGAGCATCAGAAGACTTACCAGAATATTTGTGGTCGGAGACCAGGCGAAGAACATGCCCAGGCTCACCGTTGATGTTAAAGCACACGGTTAGTTTACTGAGCGGGAATTCCACCACAAAGTGGGGGTCACCATCAGCTACGAAAGACAGAAATAAATCCATTGAAAAGATAGAGACACTGCAAAATAAAAAACTGGTGATTTTTAAAATCTTTTTTTTTTTTTACCATAAAGCAACTTAATCTGATCAATAAAGCAGCAACGAACCACCCAGGCAGGAGCATTTCTAGCTATCCCTGTATTGTATCATCTGGTTTATTTTTTTGTTATTTAAAAAAAAAATCTTTGGCTGAAGTTCCTATGAGAACCTACAAAAGATCAACACAGGAGCAGTGAGATTAGAGAGTAACCCTAATTACAGGGCCATTAGCCTTTACTAACTCATCCTGATGGGTTCCCTCTCTTTATACTAACAACACAAGTGCACACCTCCACCTCTCCCCGCTGCTCTCAACCCTGTCTCACCGATATCTGCGCGTACACGAGCGCGCGCTTGCGCGTCCTAAGTGCCACTCAGGGCCTGAGCTGGTATTTCAATTAGACCCTGCTCATGTGCAGAGGAATCCCCGAGACTCGCTGTCCGTGTGATCCCGCCCGGCGAATATCCAAATTACAGGTCGGCCACACATAGAGCGGGGGTGAGAGTCTTCTGTGCAACCCCTCCTTCTCCTGTCTTTCAAGTTTTTCTATGAGGTCTTGTGACTTCAACATGCAAGTTAGAGAGGTGTTGCACCTCTAAATTTAACAGGGAGGACAAAAAGTACAAATGTTTAAACAGGAAAGGCTGTATGGGGTCACCTGAAGTTTTGGAGATGGTGATGGATTTCTTGACAGGTCTTCTTCCAACGTTCCCTGGAAGAAAGTTTATGTTTAAATCTGGAGATTTACTGTCATTATACAGAGTCCTATTTTTTTTTTACATGATAAGCTGTTCCACTACAATTTGTCCAAGTCACTTGAAAAAGAACACAGAAATTTGAGTAGAAGTGGTATGACTGTAGGCCCTGCGATGGACTGGCGGACTGTCCAAAGTATACCCCGTCCCTCGCCCATTGACCACTGGGGTAGGCTCCAGTTCTCCCCGCGACCCCATTAGGGAATAAGCTGTAGCGATAATGGATGGATGGATGGATAGTTCGACTGTATGACCCTCACCTATGTTGTTGCTCACAGGTGAAGTCTGACTGCCGAGTTTCCTGTCCAGTGTCCGTGGCTTTTCATAGTCCATTTCCCCCGGCAGATCGTTAGCAGGCTGGGCAGCTTGGGCAGCTGCCGGTGGAATGGTGGGCGCTGGCGCCATAGTGCCATCGGCCAGGACTTCGGGCTTCTCCACCACCATGTTGGTAAGTGGGGTGAGGAAGTTGTACGTCAGAGACAGGTTGGTGGCCTGTTGGGTGTGACCGTCTCGCTCTTTGCTGGTCTGGCTTCGCAGTCGCGACCGTAGCCCTTCCTTGACGCTGAGGAACCCCCAGACGCGTTCCACGAAGTCTTCCGCAATGGAGCCCAGAGGGATTCCCAATCCCTGTGCCGCCGACGACGCCGGGGTCTTGCTTCCGGCGGCCATGGCGGCGGTCGCGGCTTTCACGTGCTTCTCGGTCTCTACCTGCCGGCGGCGTAGAGGCACGTCGCTTTCCAGGACGATGCTCCTGTCGTTGTTGCTGGCGGTAACCTGGACGTGGAGGGACTCGGCGCTTTGGTTTGTGAGCTTTCCAGCGATGACGATTTCCGAGCCATTGAAGTAGTTGGAGAACAGATTCTGAGTGACGTAACTGACGGAGTTCTCCGTGTAGTTGATCCTTATGTCAGACAGCAGAGGAGTTCCTATCTCATCGTAGAATCTGTAATTGAACAGAAAGGCATCTCAGATCAAGCATTGCAAAATGATTGCAAATCATGACAATTGGTCAATTCTCCAGGAAATTATCATTCCGTTGAAAATCATTATGTAATTCTCCTCTAGCCATATTTTAAGTCATTCCATTTAGACTGGTAGATCCTCCCTTTCTTCTTGTCCTCTTTGTCAACTCTTCCAGACGGAGACGCTGATATTTCTCAAACTTGCAAATGCTGCTCTGAGGCCTCCTCCCAGTGCAACATGTCCAATGGACCTTCCCCTAGAGGTATCTAGAGCAAAACTACCCCATTTGGCCTTTTATATATCATAAAGAGCAAAAACTACTCTGAGCAGGTCCTGGATGACTCAGCTTTCGACCAAGTCTTGCCACCTGTCAGAGGAAACTCACTAAAACCTTAATTTTTTCACAATCAACAGCTAATGACTACAGGAGAGAGTTGGATTAAAGCTAGATTTGTCACTGTTTGGTCTTATATATTTTTTTCCGGTATTTTTCTATCATTGATCCAACATTTTCCCTTGAATTTTCATAACGCTTCCAAATTGACTTGAGTCTAGACTTTTTAACATCTAAAAAAAATAGCATTACCCTATTTATTAAATCCCCCTTTTCAACATGAGGCATAGTTTTGAAGCTGGCTGTCTGCATATTCTTTACAAATGACCACTAATCCAGCTCTTTGTTTAGCAGTGTTGCTTTAGGCAGAAAATTTGGGGTGCAACTGCAAATGTCATCACCATCTTATTTATCCAAACAAACCTCCATTTCACCAGAAGGCTGTTTTTGTAACCCTGCATGCTACGGTTTCCCCACACATTCGTAAATGCGAGTGTGTTGAGCCGAACCTGTGTGTAGGTGTGTGCCCTGTCCTTATTGTCACAGTCCCCTACACCTCCTCACCTCTTAACCAGCATGTTTGCTCGAGCGGGACGAGGGCTATTATCACAGAGTCTATCTGTTAACCCCGTGTACGGATCCAGACGCGGGTTTCACAACAACGCACACATTCCTGTGAGGCTGAACAAACACCTTGTGTGTCAGACTGCAGACGGACGAGAGAAGAGGCCTGTGTGCAAAGGGCTGAAAATAAGAGGTCCGAGAGGGAAAAAAGGGCGGCTGTTGTAGACAGCCGCGGCCTCATGTTTAAGTTGATTAAAGAGGTCTGTTTTCAGCACCGTCACATTTGCGGTCTACGTTCCCTCTCAGGCTGATGAGAGACAGACAGACGTGACAGAGGAGACGAGAGAGGAATTAAGGACAACTAATTGCCTAATAAAAGGCAGATTATACACTTAGGAATGGGGAAGGTATTTGGAAGCCCCTACTAGTTACAAGGTTTTAAACAGTTGGATTTAAATACAGATCCATTACAAATATACAATTTTGGCTTCATAGGATTCTAAAGATGTCAAAATAATATACATGTGTGTGTGTATATGTATATATATATGTACACATATCTATATTTTTTATCTATATCTGTAGAATTTACATGTGTCAATTGTGACCAAGTCTCTGTTGTTGGGTGACCTGTTCGCTTTACATTCCAGTTTTAGATTCATGTTCTATCTAACAGGGCATGGAAACAAGGGAAAGAAAACCATTTTTTTCTTTTCAGTGGTCAAAGGGCCTTTGTTTGCAAATCTTTGACATTATTGTCATACCGGTTTAAACATTTGTTCAACTGACAGCTTTCACTCTAACTGAGGATCATTTCTGAACATCAGTGATTGCCAACACCATTGTATCCGTTCACAGCCTCCCTCTCAAAATCACACTTTTTCTTAACCACTTGGTTTAGTGGTTTACTAATCCCAAGTGCAAATGTTTGGCTATATCTCTGATAAGATTCAAAAGTTTTTTTAAAGTAATTTTCTCAATAACTTTGTGAAAAACTCAATTATAGCCATTTTTAGTGTATTCTGATTTTATCCATCAGTAACCTGATGTGATGACTTCTTTCATGTTTACAGTGCTGTTAGGAAAAGTCTTTCAGAGAAGCAGATTACTGTAAAAAGCAGTACAAGTGTCACTACTACAGATGAACTTCCTCTAATCAGATCAATGAAGCATGACAGTTGTCCCTGTCTGCCTCCACCGTTGACAGATATACCTAAAACCCATTCATTGTTAGCAGGGTAGGAGGCTTTTTTCTTTCATTGATTCATTTTTTTCGTAATCCTTGCTTGCTTTCTCACTCTAACATCAGTCCCCCTGATATCATAACTTGTGAAACAAGGGCCTACCCTTTAAGCATGCCGCTGGCGTCAGCATCCTCATGGATTCGCCTCATCATCCCACAGTTATCCAGAGCCATGCGCTCCAGCAGCCGGTAGTCCACGTCGTTGCCAATCCCGATCGTGAAGATGCAGAACTTCTCCTGCACGGCTGAGCGAGCGTTCCCCAGGATGGAATGGGACTGGATCTCTCCGACCGTGGGCCGTCCGTCCGTCAGGAAAATGATGAGCGAGACGCTGTTGGGGCTGCCGTCAGAGCCCGAGAGGTACTCGCGAAGCAAAGTGGAGCCAGTCTGGATGGCATCGTCGATGTTTGTGCCTGGAGTGAAGGATAAAAACGTCATGTGGAAATTCAGTAACCAAGTCTCACTTCAGAAGTTTTTATTGCCTTAGGGAGAAGGCCGTTAAACAAACGGTTTTCCACCGATGTGCATTCATTAGGCTCCTCGGCTTGTTAGCCCTATAATGCCAAATGTATCATATTTGATACATACGGTATCTGAAGTCTTTTGGATCTGAGACTTTTTGCATCATTCAGTGGTAAAAGTTTTGCTCAAACCCCTGTTGTACACAGGGGTTTCAGATATACCTGATAACAGCAAGTAAAAGACTACATGAAAATATATTTTTGACTTATTGCATGCTAATTTGATCAAAATTATTTCTGTTTTTTTCCCACATACGTTGTTGAGGGGTCAAAGAAAGACTTCAGACTAAAAAAATCCAATATTCTTCCTATTTTTCTTGGATCAGGCTTTAAAGGGATAGAGATGATTTAAACTGGAAAATATAACTGCTGGTTTGTCTAATATGTCCACCAAAATGCACTGTTTGTGAAAAGAGCAAACTGCGGTCCGTAAAGTGTCACCTCCAGTTGGCATCAGCATGTAAATAAACTTCTTGGCGTCTCTGATATTCAGCGGTGTCACTGGCACGAGACGATTTGGCTGCCAGACTTTGATCCTATTGGAGAAGCTGATGAAGTTAAAACGGTCGCCGGGTCGCAGATCCTTCAGGATGGTGAAGAGAGCATCTTTGGTCTGAGGGACAGACACATTAGACAATGTTTGTGGGTCCAAATATGTGAAAAATAATTATTCGTGAGTTACTTGCCTTTAAAATGTCTACTTAAACCACACACACACACACACACACACACATATACACATATACACATATATATATATATATATGATTTATTTAGCATTTATCCTAAATCCTACACTAACAATTAAATTTAGCCAGTTACATTTGCCGCAAAAGTTCAAACAAGTTATCTTGTAGCAATATATGCAATATGAGATTTAGCATCATCTTGCTTTAATATGCAATACATCCCCAAAAAGGTAAACCTTTGTAAAAAATGTGCACATATCTTAGTGGTGACTTTCCAGATGTATAAGGCTTGAAATTTTCCTGGAACACCACAATTTTAGGACAACTAACAACATTGTGAAACTGTTTAAAACTGTTTAAAACTTTATTTCTATTTGACGATTGCTGAACCATTATAAATATTTATGTCTGAGAGGTTCTTCCTTTGGGTGCCGACCCATTGCTGACCACCCTAATTAACTGCAACGTGCTCCTCCAACCTTGTCTTGTTACTTTTATTCCATCGAGTTGTTTTCTTTTTCAAACACACTGCGGCCATCAACATGAGCTAATGTTTCTTTTGAAGTCAAAGATGACATTTTGAAATGCATAGATTTAGAATAGTCATTTACTGGAAATACAATAAATGTATCTATCTCTGTATTTACATATTACAAAATGTCCCAAAGGAAACATGATTTTGGATGTAAACCTTTTCTCCTTACGGTTGAGGTATGATGTATGTGAGGCTGAGCACTGTTAAAGCTTTGACTGATCATATCCATTTAAATTCAAGGGGATCGCTAAGACTTCCTCCCACTTTTCAGCTTTGGTAATCTCAACATGTGTGAGATATGTATCTGAGCTCCGGGGGGATTTAGATGCCTTTATTTACAGTATACAGCAGGGGTCAGGACCACAGAAACCCTCTATTGTACGATCAGATCAAAACCCGTTTGTTCTTTTCCGGCAACTGGTTGTAGCCCACTGAAGGGAGGGAGGGCTGATCAAGGGGTCGAGGGGGCTGTTGTCTTGAAAGTTCCATGACCACATAGGCGGTGACCCTTCCTCCCTCATAGCGTGACCTTGCGCTTTATATTTCCATTTTTTCTTTTTTTATGCTGCAAATCTGTTTTTCCAGTTTCTCCACTCTGCTGGTCCTGTACTCTTTTCTCTTGGCAGCTGCACAGATCAGCTCTAAATCTAGGAGAGAGGATTATCGTGCCGTTGCACATGAAAAAAAAATAAAAGAGTCTGATACTGATATTCCAGTGTGGGAGGGAGGAGGTGGGTTGTCTTATTTCCTATCCAGCAAAGTCAGTTGAAGTATCATTTGGAATTGTTTTGCAAAAGGAAATGGGACTGTTAGTAACTTCATCAGATTTCCTCTCATTCATTTGGGAAAAGAGTTTTTAAAAAGCTTGATATTCATGCCTTTTCCAATATATCTCAACACAGCTGCTACTGTTTACCGTATTGTTCATTGAGTTCACAAAAAAATTTAGAAGTTCAAGCCTCATTGTCCCTGCAATCTTAATGACCAAGTTGGTTTTGCTTCAATTAAAAAACACCTTGAACTTAAGGAAATATTGCTGACTGATCATTTACTTACTCATTACCCTATCACTTGAATTTTCCCCTAAAATTAAGTGTGCTAAGGTACTTGGGCCTGTGATGAATGATGTGGCGACATTGATTTCCAGGGAACAATTGTCTGTATCCAAATATGAGGGATTGTATTAGTTGTTGTACTTCAGTGCTGTCACATTTGATCTCATAAAATTGCTTATTTTCTATGCTACATAATAGAATGCTCACCGTTCATTTTTTTTATCTGCAGGGTTTCATGTGCTAGCAGTAGCGTTTATATCCATTTGGAGCGCAACAGGGCATGATCTCATGGTCCCAGTTGCTAAAAGTTAGCATGTGCACATGCTTTCATTTATATTTTCATGGAATTTTTGCCCCATGGATTACATTTTCGGAAATCTGCTGTCTCACCTTGGAGCATTTTTCACATAATATTGTACTGATTCCAATCATTTTGTCACAAGGATTATAATAAAAAAAACTGTTTAATTTTTCCCAAATTGATCATGTTGAAACACTTTGAGATTGCAAAAATCTCAAATGATGTCTGCCCACTACAAAATCTCTCTAATGGAATCGCAATGGCCACGGTCCTGTAGTTTTTTTTTTTTAGATTAAACTGACTTATTCAAGATTGTTTACCTTCTTACAAGCCTGTTAATGGCCCACTAATGGGAATCAGGTGTGTTGAAGCAGTGTGACATCTGGAACACAAAGCCTAATCCAAGGCAAGATAAACATATTCTAATGTGCCAAGAAAAGTAGTCAATTGAAAAGGTATTGTAACACTGCACAACAATTCTCTGTAAATATCCAATAGATGTTCAGCCTAATATCTGAGCTAATCTTTTTGGGCATACCCAAGTCAACATGAAGTCTGAAATCATGGTGTAATGATGGCTAACAGTACACGACGGTAATGGAATATTTACCCTTATAAACAATGTTTTTGTTATATTGGATGAAACTGAACAAAAAGAGGTATCGATAGTCAGTAAACTTTCTTCGACATACCTGTCTGATCTTCGTGCCCAACATGGAAGCGCTGGTGTCGATCACAAACACCACATTCTTGGGCACAGCAGGCAGGTCTTTGGGGGCAAAGTAGTGGACGAAGTGTCCGTTCAAAACCTTTGGAGGGAGACATAAAGGCAGCAGGCAGTGAGATTGGTTGCGGTTGCAGATCTGGGCTGAAGACAGACAGAAGAGTTTGGCAGCACAGCGAGACTGGTGGCAGGAAGCCTGGGAAATGAATGACTAACAGGTGGGTGGAGGAGGGTGTATTTCAGAGAGGGACTGGGAGGGAAATGTCTTTGCGAGCACAAGAAATATTCAAACTATCTTCGCAGATTATTTCCTTTCGTCAAAACCGAAGAAAAGGGTCATTGGAAGTGTGCGATTTGGTCTCACCTGGATGTCTCCGATTCCCATGTCTCTCTGGACATCGTAGCGGATCACAAAGTCTCCCAGGATGCCGCTGGTGGTGATCTTGGCTTGTTGGACGATGTTTGGGCTGAAGGTGATCTTCCAGACGTTTTTTTCGTTTTTGACAACAGTGGTGATGGGAAGCTCGGGCTTGGCTGTGACAAAAATAAAAAAACAGGATGTGAGTCACGTATCCTTTTTTTTTTTCTTTAAATAGATCAAGGACGGAGCCATTACATAAACAAAAACTGGCTTGGAAGTCATTGGAGATGTAAACTGGTGTCTGGGCAGTTTACGTAATCTTTAACACTGGTCTGAGCTGCTTTTGTTCATTTCCAAGATGTATCAAACCAAAACTCTTCAGACCCCTTTTTCTGTGCCGTAAGGTTTAGCTTAGTACCCAGCATCTACAGACCTGGTGTCTTGGACGCTTTAAGACCCGATGCCGTGCTGAAAGAGCCACTGCTTTTGCCGTTGCGGAGCGGCAGCACCTCCAGGTCCAGGATGGGCGAGTGGTCCACAATAGTCACGTCCAGAGTGAGCCGGCTGACCAGCTGCAGGGGTCTCAGGCTGGTCACCTGCTCGTAGCGCCCCAGCCGGCGCTGCAGAAGCTCTTCGTATGTCAACAGAAAGATGGCCCGGTTCCTGCCCGGTATGCTAACGGCCATTCTGAACACCTCCACCTCAGGTTCTGGACTGGAGAGGAAACGGTGAGAGGTATTGACGATGCTCCATAAGGATTTTTAAAGAAGCCATTGATTAATTCTTTGTGTGGGACATGATTTATGAGAAAACGAGAACCATCTTCTTTGTTGTGTGTTGCGTTGCTTCATAGTAATTGTAAGTGTTGCAGTTTGGATAGCTGTCATCATGGATCAGTCCACGTCAGGTTTGTGTCTAAATCCTAGGAGTAATGTATTCGGGTTGCATTTTGGGGTGCTGTATCCATTTACCGGTATGTGGTCTAAAAAAAAAAAATCTCATCCTGAATATTCTTTAATCCATACAATCCCATAATTTCACTCCCACATCCAGTCTTCACTTCCAGAACTTTGCACTGACTGTGGTAGACCCCGACCATGTTCACGCCAACCATATTTATCTTAAAACCTTTATTTTCTAAAGGTTTTGGGTACCTGAGACCTTCATAGGAAAGGAATTGATTAAGTGTGGGGAAAAATTCCAGGAAGGACTTAGACCCAGGTTTACATGGTTCATATATAGATACATCTATATATATATATATATATATATTATGTGTATGTGTGTGTGTGTGTGTGTGTGTGTGTGTGTGTGTGTGTGTGTGTGTATTCACAACTTTTCTCATAAAATCTCTCAGTGATACCAGGCAAGCTGAAATCCGAGCATTGCTCAAGGGAAGATATAATAACACAAGGACATGGCAACATACGGAAAAATTGGGGTTACTGCTGAAAAGCTTGTCCATGTGGTGATATCACATGGTCTCACATGTCTCACTTCAGCCCGGTGCCTCAGTCTGAATCATATTACAAAATCTCATTTAACAAAACGTCACTTTTCAGCATGCCAGCTGCAAAAGGTATGAAGTCACTTCTTCCACTTGTCAGCTTTTGGGTCATGGATTTCTGTAACTATTCTCATCTGCAGAGCCATGACTGATATAAAACTATACAGCTACTCTCTGTGGCCGCCGTTATAGTGAAAGAGATACCCGCTTGGTGTGCTATCAGCCTAAGGTTTTAACAGAAACCGCGCATAAAGCTATGCTGTGGAATTCGGAGGAATTGTTAGACGGTAGGCGTGGTCAGTCGCAAACTCAGTCTTGGGATTTTCATACCTTGCATCACTTGACCCTTTGTTCTTGGGTTTGCCGTTCTCCTGTTTGACCCTCTTTTGCTTTGGCCTGACCTCGCTCTGGTAGACACGCCCTCCCACGATCCTGGTTGAGAGGAGGGAGGTCAAAGGTCGGGGTTTAGAACGGAGCGCATATTCAGGGACCCCTATTGTCACAGTTCAACTAGATTTTCTTGGACAAAGGACACAGAAAAATCCTGTCATTACCTATTTACGGGTAGCCTTTCCGCACATGACTGAGCGGATCTGTGCATGTGTGTTAACAGTGTTATAAAAATTGTAACCCCTTCTTCTGTCCTTGCTAACATCTCCATAACAACTGAGACCTCATAAATATGTCCAGCCACTGAATTACGTTGTGCATCCTTTTCTGGAGCTGAAACTAAACAGCTCTGTTAGTTTCAGTTTTAAAGTTATGGAAACTTTATTATCCTTGGTTGTTGAAATTTTACTACTCATTTAAAGTGGATGGGCTTTTTTCTTTCCAAAATTTTCCAGCGAGTAAAATCCAAAGTTGATCTTAAGTATACTT